TGAGCGCAGTCCGGCGATTTCAATTCTGTAGGGTTGTTGAAAACCCCTCGCCACTCAAAAGGAAGCAAGTCCAGACTTCGTTCTTGCAGGCTTCCTCCGGAGGCTCCCAAGTTCTGCAATGCTGAGCCCTTCACCAACCAGAACGAACTGACCGAAACCCAGAAACTTCATGTTGCTCGGTTTGCTGGTGAGAGGCCCTTCACCATCCCATAGGCAAGCAGATCTGATCAAAAGGGCGTGGATCAACGGGTATGGGTCGGGTGTCACAAGTTTGTGGCCGTAGCTATGTCTGTTTTAAGGCGAGGGGCTCAACTGTTTTGGTGCGGGCAGTTAGTTGTATAGGGCCCCCTCCGTTAGGCACCATGAAAGACATGAAAGGTTGCCCTTAGATAGGAACCTGTACACCTGAACTGTGAATTGCCCACAGGTAAAGTCCATGATCAATTCAGTGGATTGTGGGCGGTGCATGGGGTCATGGGGCCATGGCCATGTGGAAAATACTTAGGTCCTCTTCGATCACAGTTTTATCTTGATTTTAAACGTGTGTTGGGGGCTGGGGCTGTGCTGTTGGCACGCCTCTTGCAACAGTCCTCTTTCCACATCACCCCTGGCTGGCCATATGCCTTTTGCCCAGAAGTGCCTTCCGATAAGCTGGTATCGCACAACAGGAAACTGGCAAACAGAAACTTCCGTTGATGGAAGAGACCATACATTAGCTAGCACACGGGCCCCGTAGTCGAACACCACGTTATTTTCATCATTACTATTGCTAATATTATAGCGGGTTGAGGGCAGGTAGCACCCCAAAAGGGTGTTAAACTGGATCCCCATCCAAAACACGACATCTTCGGGTGTGTGCAATCTAACCTGAAACCACTATATACATTATTACAACAAAATAGTGGAGTTTTGCATCCGCCTGCTTCAGGAAAAACAGCACGATGATCATGTCCGCCCGTGTCCTTCATCTGCCAATTGCGGTGGCACGCCCAAGAACTTCAACTGCCCGCCCAGAAAGCCTTCGTTCGCAACCTGAGTTGAAACAACCAAAAAGGTACTTCATGGTACTTCAAATGATGCAGAAACAAATAAGAAACTAAACAAACCAAACACAACCCATGTCAATAGCTAGGGATGCACATTGACCAATCGTGAATGTAGTTGCCCAAACATCTGTGATGTAAACATAGGGGGTTAGAAAGTAAGCCCTCGTGAAAGCGAAGAGTTTCTAGGAAGCGGGGCGGAGAAGGAGCATCTCGGAAATCCGGCCAGCAAATGTCCACCCCCTGCCACAGGCCTACCTCGTTCTGTCCACCCCCCAGGCATATTGTTTTCCTGGCTATTGCGCCACAACAACAAGAATCACAAGAACCACGGCAACCCAGAGTGACTATAGTGGTGGTGGTGGTTGATGGCGGTGGTGATGGTGGTAGTGACGCTGATGGTGGTGATGATGGTGATGGGTGGCGGTGGTGCTGAATTGGCTGAAGGTGGTGATGGCGGTTTTGGTGATGAAGGTGGTGAGGGTGGCGGTGATGGTGGTGGTGCAGGCCTGGAACTGAAGGTCTATGTCCAGAGTTCTAGTTTGCTGCGCCCCCCACAAAATCTACACTTCAAGGTCCACAAAGTACTGCACCTGCCACGAATCTGCCCTTCAAGACTTCAAGCTCTACAAAGCTTTGATACCACGAAATCTTCACTCCAAGGACTCCAAGGTCAACAAAAACATTTGCGCCTGCCACATAAATCTGCACCTCAAGGTCCTCAAAGTACTGCGCATGCCACGAAATCCACACACGAAACCTGCACTTCAAGGTTCACAAAGTGCTGCGCCTGCAACGAAATCTGCACATCAAGATTCACATCGCGCAGGCCGGGCAGTCACTTGCGCACTGGGAATTTCGGTCACTTGCGCACTTTGGGTCACTTGCGCACTTGGCATCAAAAATTTAGGTCACTTGCGCACTTACCTGCTTCCTAGCAACGGGTGGTGCCTACTCCACAATGAACTAGTGAATGGGTTGGGGTGGGGGGTGGGGGGTGGGGGGTGGGGTGGGGGGGTTGCAGTTGCCAACCATACAAAGGGACTCTGAACTGCTGAAAAGGTTGCCAAGTTGGACAAGGTCAACATCTTCACACACACACACGCACGCACTCACGTTTTGATTGCCTTTCAAAGCATACTTCTGCCATACAAACTCACTTGCGCGCGCAAACTATAATGAGTGGGTTGGGGTGGCAGTACTATTGGTAGTAGTAGTAGTAGTAGCAGTAGTAGTAGTAGTGGTGGTGGTACTAGTAGTAGTAGTAGTAGTAGTAGCAGGAGTAGTAGTAGTAGTGGTAGTAGTAGTAGTAGTATATAAAGGTAGTGGTAGTAGTAGTAGTAGTAGTAGTACTTATCCGATGTATGATACAGAGGCATCGGTCTTGGGTTTCCCTCATCGGTTTTCAATGTATGCTCAATCGAAGACCTCGGTCTTGGGTTTACCTCATCGGTTTTTCAATGTATGCTCAGTGTAAGACCGACCAACCTAAAGCGTTTGGTGACGACATGTTCGGACAGTGCTCAAATGTCAAGTGTACAAGCGACCATAAATTCAAGTGCACAAGCGACCCAAATTTCAAGTGTACAAGCGACAGCTCGCCCCATCGCGCAGCCCCTGGCGATTCGCACTAAGCGCACTTCCACAGACAACATCAAAATGTCAAAGCGCAGCTTTCGCTTGAGACTTCCGATTTCTGAGCACGAGCCCCATGTCCAAAAGTCACGATTCACTGCACGCCAAAGACCACCACCATGTCCAAAGCACTGCGCCAGTCACAAAATCTGCACATTGACATAAAACCACTCCGATCTCCTGCACCTGTTGCGAAAAGAAATCACCACGTCCAAAAATGCGCACGGCACCACAACGAGAGCGTAGTCCCAAAGAGCACCCTCGCCACCAGATTTTGCGAGCCTGCGCAGTCGAAATGCACTTCGAAGATCTCAAGGTGAATGAATGTAGTGTAAATACGCAAACGGATGCGAGCACTTCAATCAATCACCCATCCTCAACTCCTACCGTAAGAACCCCAAGTGTGGACAAACTGTTTGGGGAAAAGCCCTTAGGTTTTCCAAAATCCATATAAAAATATCTCCCCAAATCCCTTAATTGAACATCCTTGAGTCAATTGTGTTCTTGAAGTTTATGGATTCTCAAGTGAATTTGCGAAGATTAAGGATTATCAAGGACACTTGTGAAAATATGTGAAAAGTAAGATTTGTCAAAGAATTGTGACTATTAACTGGTTTCAAGCAGGTTATATAAGGATTATCCATGAAATTTGGGCCATAAAATGGAGTTCCACATGTCTTACCTAATTGAACATGACCACTCTATAAAATGCAATTTCAGCCTTTGGCCTTTTATTACCCAAAGCCCAAGGTACCCTCACTCTCTTGAATGGGCGGCACCTGAACGTCATTATATAAACGCCAATGTCCGCCATGGTAAAAAGCCACCACAACACATCTTATGCGTGCTCCCCTTCCGAGTCGCTGTGTTGGGGGTCACAGGGAGTTGAATCGCGTGGAAGCCGCTCAGGAACTTCCGGCAACAGCGGCCACCTCAGCAGCCGTGGCAGCGCTTGGCACCCGTCCATCCGACACGGCCCCGAAAACAGGCAAAGGAATTTTGAATAATCCTCAAGGGGTTTGAGAGTTATTGCCAGTGCTGTCAAACAGCGATGCCCATGCCATCAAAGTGGTCTACACATGTCACATGTCTCTGAACGTGTCCGAATGTGTCCGAACAACCGCTGCAAAGCCGTCAAAGCAATTCATTCCTGCAGCATCCGCACTTTTGGCTTTGATGTATGACAGTTCACGCCGACCTTGTCGGAGGCACCGCAAAAAACGACGAACGATGGCCACATGCCATTGGCCGATGCCACTAGCCGAGGCCAGGTGTCGAACGCGGGCAGACTGGCTGAGCTGGCTGGCACTCGGGACCTCAGACTTCTGCCCCATATGTAGCCACAACATGATCCAAAGCCTAATTGGATGGGCCACTGGCGCGCACAACGCAATTGGAGTGGATGCCGGCGCCACCTGCAGGTGGTACAATTCTCGCTCCAGCTTGAAAGATCCCAAGGTCCATTAGAGCTCCTTCGGCCCCATTTGCCCTGGCGCGACTCCTTTCAGACAGCGCCTGGATCTTGGGATGTCTTCTCGGAGCGCCAGCCAGTGACTAAACAAGGAGGATCTAGCTCGAACCCCTCGAGGTGCAAAAAGCCCCAGCAAGCCCCTTGGCGCCAGGTTTCATGGCCTTGGTCCCTGTCCCCCCCAAACCTTAGGTCTGATAGCCGTCTTCCCTATGTCCTGGCACCCCCTTCTTCTAAAACAGTTTTCCCCACAGGGGTGCCAATGGTTTCCGTGGCATGGCTCCAAACTCTCATGCCCAAACTGCAACCGAATCCTTCAACCATTAATGCAATCTTCCTGAATATTGGGTTTCTCAGGTGGTTCTTTTCGAATCCAGCCAAGCCTATGTTCAACTGAATGCTCAAAGAAAGCTGTGTAAGACTTTATAATATGTGACACAAGGCCTAGGTTGGCTAACCTGGAGCTGCCCACCCTATGTCACCAGCACCCGCAAAAAGTAGCAATTGCTTGCCGTCCAGGCAAAATAATTATTTTTCTGATCTCCTTTCAGAACCTTGATCTATCCATCTATCTATCTCTCTATATATGTATATATATCTAGTCTATATCTATATACAATATGTTATCTAGCGAATCTAGCGATTCTATACTGGTGGACCTGACAAAGGTCAGAGGTTACTGAATTCAGGGAGGTCATAGCCAAATAGATTTGCTCTGCCGGGCTCTGCCCTGCTTTTTGTCATGCGTCAACTTCAGGGCTCATGTACAGTACTTCCGGGGTGCAGGGCCTTCTATAGGCCATGAATCGTCTTTTTCTCGGCCGGCTCGGCCTCACTTGGCAGGCCGGCTCGGCTCACAAGGAGGTCACACTATGGGTATCGCCCAAGGCATCGGTCCGGTAGGTGGTCTGTCGTTCAGGCTTTCCTGCAACTGAACACTCCGCCAAGTCTTGCAGCTGGATCCTGGGTCGTGCGAGAGGATGCCAGAACCGCGTACCGTTAAAGCGGACGAGAAGCGTTCAAGCGGCAAGTCACTTGTGCTGTGATTGCAATGCTGCTATTGATTTGTGCAGTAGGTTGAAGAGACCTAAGCCACACGCCACAAGGGCGTCAACCAGAAATTGACGGCTTTTTGTCGGGTCGGGTTGCCGGGTATTTTGTGATTTAGTTCCGACCCATGTCCATTTATCACCTTGTGCTCATCCATTCAAACGGAAATAGAATTGGTTTCAATTATGTTTTTCCCTACATATAACGGAATATAACGTATACAATTCCTTGTCCGCAAATATGTAGGCTGGCCTGCAATTTCTCTGGGGTTACAGTTGCAGGGTTGGCCAGGTGCTGAGGCATCTTAGGCATCAAAAGGGCATGAGGACAATGGAACCTTAGAACCGCCTGGAACTTGTGCAAGCGTCTTGAAGTGCACCATAATCTCAGTCAATGGCAATTTGACCTCAGCGCGGGGAGTCACGGAGGATAATATCACACAACAAACATAAACATCACAGAATGTAAATATTACCTTAAATATTGAATCACGGAATACCATCTAGAAAACCATAGAAGGCCTTACAGCAGCGGCTCCCTGACCTGCACATCCTCCGTGATCAAACTCATGAAAGCCCCTTGGATTTAGCCGCCTTGGGAGAGATGGCCATTGACTGCACATTGAAGGAAACCATTGATATCTCCAATGAAGGGTGCTTGGAGGCCATTAACATGATCCGTATATACAGTAGTTATACGGTATAGGCTAGGAGGAAGAGAAAAAAAACGATGAGGATGGTATGGTGGTTAGTAGTAGAGCTTTACCAAACTGTGGTGATGCTTTTGGTTCAAGCACCCGGCACTTGAAAGGCCCCAGGCACTGTCTCTGTATAGAAGAGGTTCTCTGCCGAAGCGAGCACTTGGGACATCGTACGGGTGAAACTCCCCAACCTGAGCTTGCCAGTGCGGCAGGTCAAGGAATCAAATGGAACCAGGGATGAATGATGAAGGGGTGAAGGTTGGAGCTTCCGCCAGGAACTCCCAAAAAATCCAAAGGATAGTGGGGGGCAGGACACCAGCCGACAGGACAGCTTGATGGGGAAGTTCAACATCCAGCTAGGAAGTTCGGATGTGTCAGTGGATCTTCAAAAGGCTGACCCCTCCGGACCCTCGATGTGGAGACATCCCCTTCCCTTCCGACATTTGCTTTCAGTTGCCTTCGAACTTCTAGGGTTTGAAAGGGATAGTGATCCTTTTGCTTGCATGTAGTGCTTGATATGTGATGGACTTTTAGTATGGTGCAAAAACAGTGTAGCTACAACCAGTTTAACCATTGCAAGGCAACTCCTTTGGCTTCGGCTGGTTCTGGCCCTGTGCCATCAACGTGAACTTGATCTCCGCCGCGTGCGCCTGCGGAGATCACGCAAGCAAGGCAAATTGAAACGTTTCAAACGGCACAAATGTTAACAATTTTATGATGTTCTCCTTTGTGCCTTCCTGAGTTCTTTGCAATCTCATCAAAATACTTGAATGATGCGAGGGAATTGGCGTCCTAACTGCTCCCTTCTGTGGGCTGCAGGCAACTTCAATGTGTCCAGTTGAGATTGGAGATTCCACGGGCACCGCCGCCAGACTTCGAGATCAAAGACCGGTGTCCCTCAACTCTAAGACGGCTTGGACAGGTCATATCGATTCATATCACCCGTCCTGAAGACCGCTCCCTTTCAGTCCGAAGCAGGGTCCCTTCAGTCAAACCACTGTCCGGACCGCTCCACCTCCGCAGCCTCCGAACCCACTCGGTCCATGGCGCAGCCTCCGTCACCCTGTCCTGTGGGCGAACCGCTGCGAGTTGTTTTTTTCTCCGCGCCTTTTGCGCCAGGAACTCCACGGAGCGGCGCCAGCGAGCCACGTGGATGCCCTTGAGCTCGTCGATCTGCAAGTTCTCGAAGTCCGTCTCCTCACCGACGAGACTTCCCCCGGTTCGCGCGTCGGAGTTGGGACCCCCATGTTCGGCCCCGGTGGGTTGTTCTCACACTAGGGTCTCCAGCATCCATGGAGAAAACCTTTGAAAACAGGCAGGTTTGGGGGGATGGATGATCCCAATTGGAGGCATGGGTCCCGTAGTTGTGTCATTAGTCCCTGATTCGGAGTCCGGTCACACGATGGATATATGATATATCGACTTGGACCAGGGTTTTCACGAAGCAGTCCGATCACACAAGTAGCGGTCAGCGTCCTTGGATGGTGAGAGACTTGGGGAGAATTATCAGGGGGTTCAAGAAAAGAACCATACTTGGCCATGGGGCTTGACCACTGGCTTTGCACTTAATATTCGGTACCCGGTAGCCTCCTGAACAGCAGTTGTGAACTAGTCTCCTTGGAGAAGAGATGGGCATGGAGCAACATCTCGACACATGAAAAGGTCTTTACTATACGAATAAGGGCCAAACGCAAAATATGCTGGTTGAGGCACACATCCTTCATGCGATGGACAAGCTGCTCGGTGACAACACAAAATCATATCTATACGTCTTAAAATTGTACATTGACATGTCGATCTGAGTCGATCTGTGCTATCCTTGATTTTTTGCAGGCTACCTAGTACGGTCAAATCCGTTATTTAGCAGAGTGAAATGGACAAACATGGACAAACTTCATCAACATCACTTCTGGCCGGTCGTCTCGGGGGGATGGATGATCCCAATTGGAGGCATGGGTCCCGTAGTTGTGT